AAGGCTTTGTCAAAGAGATGGTGGGATGACAAAATTTGGGCTGAATTGCTGTACTGCACGCAATGTATTGTATACAGTAAATTTTTGGGGAAAGTGTTGGCTTTTGGGAAATCATGGCGTCGTGGGTGTCGTTTTAGCAAAGTATTGTATATATGCCCAATGAGAGATTATGCTTCGGATGAGCAAGTACACTTACAATACCATTCATAGTGACCTTGTTCATCCTCCCGCGACCCTTACTGTGATTTGTAGATAACAACAGTGCGACACTGAAGATTTCTCACCCTAAACATTCCTGCTCAAGTAACACTTGAAGCTGGTAGAAAGGAGAACCCATGCTCCTGTCAAATGACAAAGGATTATTGCGCATTGTATATCAAACTTCTGTCTTAAATAAGCATGTCGCTCAGATCTCTTGCTTCACCTCAATACAAACTCACTCTCAAACCGCATCCAACATCCGATCACAGCAACCAACGCACTGTTAAGATATACGGATACATATTAACCAGGATAAACACCCAGATATTTTATAACCATGCTATAGCAGCAATCCAATACCAACATGAAGAAAGATGCTACCAGTCCACCTGTAACTACAACTGGTCAAGACCAGCAACCGCCTCGCTGGCATGGAAACTTTGACTAGTGTCCTGTGAGCAATGCTGACACAAATAAATCCAACTACTTGAGCGATATATTTCCAACTACTTGAGCGATATATTTAACATTAACAATAAACACCTTGGCAAGCAGATGCCTGACGGAATGGCAGCTTTTCGTCAGTTCTCATTTCTTCTGGTGATATCGCCAGCAGGGGACGCATGTCTCGCATCCTCTAACAATAACTCAGTATATAACATGTAAACCAAATAGGCAGCTGAATCAGAGGTGTCTCAGTCCGAGTACATACTCAGATGACAGGGGAGCCTACGTGTATAATACCAAAACGAAAATTCTAATTTTGTAATGAAATGTTGCATGGAGGTTCTAAGCGAGGCGGTTTAAGGAGGGGAAGCGAGGCGGCGTCTTCCCTCTTTGCTTCCTGCTAGGTCTCGTTGCTCAACTTACCGCGTGTGCTTAGAACCCAAGACATCAATGCCCTTCTCGTCATCTGCGCCCTCTACCGCCCTCCCATTCGATACATTTGAAAGTTGTGAGTTCCTAAGTGTCGAAAACGCAATCCCCACGACTTACACGCTATATTTTGCATCGGGCAAAGGGTGTGAACACAAATACGTCCACAGTTGGGTATTGATACTTCGCGGGATACAACATTGTACAATGTGGCCCATTTATCAAGAAACACTAGAACAGATAAGATTCGGCACAATTTAAAGTTCATGTTAGTCAGAAAGTAGTGATTAAGAGAAATCACTAGCTGGATGCGTTGAGATAAACTAGAAGCTGGTGCTCTCTCGAGGACGATTCAGAAATGATGCAGTGTAAATGAGGCATCTTACAAGAGCTCCTTCCGCTTATTGGTCGCTTCCGGAGCATGCTGTCGCTGAAAATAGAATCAGGAGCTAAGCCATCTCCGCCTCAACGAAGTCATGGTGCCGCTTGGGCCTCCAATCCAGTATACTCAGTAAGACACGATCGTGAAACGGTCGGTGAAACACGATCAAGCAAGTGAATCATTGTAGACTTCTTTGTTCTGCTGGAAGTGAATGACGATGGGCGATATACAACAAAAAGGTCGTACGTATCACCTGAATAGCTAAGTTCTTCTCGATAAGGTGAACAGTTAGATCGGGTGGTATAAGAGACCATTTGGACTTGTCTCTGTAACCAACAGCACACTTCACTGCTACTCATCCATCACAAACTAGACTTACACAAGCCCCAGCGCATCTCAAACAAACCTCACCATCTTAAAAAAAGCTTACCCTCTAACTTGCGGTTCAACCACTCTTCACCATGAACCATTCGAAAATATACCAACGCGCTCTCAAGAAAGAGCGCGAAGCAGAAAGAGCTGCCCACAACATGTCGAAGAAGGCCTCTCGACGAAACCAGAATCTCGATAGAGGCGTACAACGTCGTATCACCATGAACCGCACGAAAGAACGCGAAGAAAAACATATAGAGCCGGAAGAACTGACTTCGGTGATTGCGGCAATTAGTCGTGGAACTGAACTTAGCAACGATTCCATGGCAGTTAAACCAGACCACTTGATCTGGTTCCGTCAGAGACAGGATACATCAGCTGTAACGACATCGTTCGGCAGCAGCTAAGGCTTTGGGCGAGTGGCACGTATGTATCTGATAATGCATAGTCTATGAAAGGAGCCTAGTCACCTTGTAAGGCGAAGTAAGTAAGGTTGGCGTTGGGAAGGGACACACGGAATCGTGATCTTTTAGTGTGGATTTATCGAATTTTTAACCTTTTTTCTGAATATGGTCTCTGTTTATCTGTCGTGCCGGTTCTGCGCCTTGATACCACCATGAGACATTTGAAGTTGATGGCGCTAAGATCCAAGACATGTATACAACTCAGCGCAATGAGTATCGAATCACATACCTATTCCGACTCTCTCTCCTTAGAGTCTCGCACCGGTATGGTCCGAGATTAGTCATGATCAGCGAACACAGATTCTCTGTAAGACGCTTAATAGAATTTCATTCATTCACTCCTGCTTCTCCCTTTCTTTCTTCTTCCTTATTTTAGATTCTCAAATATACCGTTACTTCTTAATCTGTCGATCTTGGTTTAATGTCCGTTACAGTACCTTCTCTCCCAACTCCATCTTGCATCCATCAGCGCTAAACATTACCAGCGTAAGGGACTGTTTCTCTTGTCCTGTCTTCACTACCTCTACTCCTTCCGGCACCTGTATGCTACTAAACTTCTGCAGGATACGAACGATTGTGTACGCAACCTCGGTCTCAGCAAAATCTCCTGGAAAGACACGCCAGTTTAGTAGAACTAATCGAAGCAGGGGCGAGGACGAAGAACTTACTACCGATACAGATTCGCGGGCCGCCATTGAAGGGGAGGTATCCCCATTTACGGAGCATAAGGTCAGCTTGCATCAATCGTGGTTCATCCCAGCGCTCGGGTCTGAAGTCTTCTGCGTCATCGCCGTAGAGATCAGTGCGTCGATGCATGGCGTAGACGTTGAACATCACGGTCGTATCTTTGGGAACCCAGACTGGGTGGCTTCCATCACTACCGCCGCCGGTGGGAAGGATCGTATCGCTGACGGAAGTTCGCACGTTGGCGGCCACTGCAGGATAGAGTCTCAGGGCTAGGAAGGAGGTTAAGTTGGTGAATCGTACGTGTAGGAATGGGAGACACTCACTCTCCTTGATGACGAGCTGGAGATACTTCATCTGTCTCAGTACACCATGGCTCAATTTGGGGTTCTGCTGACACGTTGAGTTGATTTCTTGCCGTAGCTTGTTTAATACTCTTGAGTGACGTGCCAGAAGGAAACTGTATCAAGATTAGATGGGTTGCATTAGACAAGATTGCGAGCACTTACAAGATCCAAGATAAGAGCGAAGCTGTGGTATCCCGTCCGGCAAGAAGAATGTTAAGTACTTGACCACGTATAGTGTCGTGATCGTCAAAGCTGTCGGTAAGTCTCTGCATCAGGTTACTTCGTTCTGGTTTCTGAAAAGTGAGCTTGACAGCGAGTTCGTTGTGGATGAGTTTATCTATGCAGTGATGCAGACGCTTGCATGCATCCTGGAACTTGGTGCCTTCAATTATGCGCAGCAATTGCTTTACAGGGCTCTTGGACTGTAAAAAGGCTCGGCCAAAGCCAAACACTGACCCAAATGTTTCCGAGCCGTCAAATGCTGTCGAGGTCAGGCTCGAGACAGATGTTCCGAACAAGAACTCAGTAGATACATCCAAGGTGAGCATATAGAACAGAGGCTGTAGATCGATGATTCCACCACCGGGAGGTATCAGTTTGAAGAAGTTGGCGATGTGTTGATCGAAAAGCTTCAGGTCCAAATAAATTCGCTGGTTGAACAATGGTTTCAATATCTCCCTCGTCTGCCTCCAAGCAATGCCATCTTGATTGAAGATACCTTCTCCTAGATAGTTGAACGTCATCTGTCGACGAGGCTTGATGCTCCAGTCGGCGAACCTGCTCGAGAGTATGGCTTCCACATTGGCAGGCTCTGCTGTTCGTATCACCGACGTGCCCATGCATCTTTGCTCGATTGTATAACCCGATTTTTTGAAGTCCGAGTTGTAGTATTCCATCAACCTCGATTCGTCGTACGCCTGGTACATGCGCCACAGCTCATCAACGCCGAAGAATGGTCTGTTTCCGAGGTTTCTCGCGGGGATGCACTTCGATTCTTGGCAATTTTCCAGGCTCAGCTATATGCACTGTCAGTCGCGTTCTCATGAACTCGGAAGTAAGAAAGCTCACCCGCCAATGCCGTCTTTGTCTACGGAGTCGGCGATAGCAATAGGTCAAGCAATATCCCACAAGTGCAAGTGCGAAAAGTCCGAGCATTATGTCTCTCCGGGTAGATTTAGCCTTGAAGGCATTTCTGAGGAAACTGACCACCATGATACAGAAATGCTCGTGCAATACGATAGTTTGATGATTTGTAGGTTGAGTATACCAAGCTTGGTCAATTTGACCTACTCATCCATAGTCGGCATTTCGAGATTGAATCACAGGCGGTAGGAAACAAAGGAGAATTTGCCACCTTGATTTTCAAAACAGACCGTGAATGAATGAGATTGACGTCATCTGTTTCGCAAAAATCAGGCTCGAATAGGAAATTGTGAAGTTATTCACCACTGTGGAGACAGCATCAATCCTTTTTTTTTTCATTCCGGTGGAGATTCATCCCGATATTTCCATATCCACTTCACTGCTAGCCAAGTTCCCGAAGCGTCCGCTGGCTCCCGAGTCTCCGAAGTGCAAAAAAAATGAACAAGACACCAAGAGGTTTCTCCTCCTGGAGAGACAAAAAGATATTCTCACGTCGTGGAATTTAACCACTCGCGCAATTATCTGTATAGTTGCCGGGACGCGGAATCGAACCGCGATTGAAGGCGAATTGTATGACACTCTTTTGAATACCACAAGCCCACGTGCTACCGTTACACCATCCCGGCGTTTCTAATCTGTTTGACCTTTGTTGAAGCTGGTCGGACTAAAAGTGAATATATACCCTAAGCTTTTCAGCTAAAGCACCGCTCTTATCCTTTACAAGAACACAACTTAACACAACTTCCCACATCTGAAGATAGGGGCATCTGTGACTTGATGCTTCGAGTAGGTCCAGGTAAGAATGATTGCTAGCAGCTGGAATTAATTTGGGGCAAGTTTATGAAATATTGAGTCTCGATACCTCTTATTAGTCAGCCTTCGGTAGATTTAGTCCGACCTTTCCTAGCGGCGTCCATGCTTAGCGTCAGGTATTTCAAATTTCTTATCAATCACAAAGTACGTTACTTCAAGGTCCAATGGTTGCAGAACGCAGCGTTACAAATACAGAACAGTGCTAGATTAATATAATTATTTATAGCAATGTTCTAGATACTTACCCATCAAAATCTGATAACCGGGGAACCTCGATAGAGCCCGATCCAAGTTGGAAGCTTCAAACACAGCCATATGCTCCCATAGCTTCCATCCAGTCCTCGGTACATTAATTCCTCGAGTGCTGGCAGCATTGATTTCAGTCTACTCTTCTTGCTTCCTGCAACAGCTTGAAGCCAATCACGGGACCCAACTTCGTATAGTATAGGACGGCCATTGAGCTTCACAAGTCGAAGCACCTCGCTCATATCAGCCACTGAAGAATTCTCATTGAGACGATATTGTAGGTGTGGCCGAGGCTCTCTAGCATCGCAATGGATAGGATGGCCCGCACTGCATAGTTGACAGTGATAAACTCTTTCCTTTGGTCGAGCAAGGCCGGATAACACCCAATTTCGATACAAGCTGATACCAATCTGCCAAAGAAGTCGCTACGATTGTTCGCACTGAATTTATCATGGCCAAGAATGAAACTGAAGCGATATATCGCTATTGGCAATCCACGTCCGCTTGCTGTCGATAGCATTTGTTCGGCTATCCACTGACTCTGAGCGTATCCGTCGTCGTATGGCAGGCCAGGCAAGTACAGAAGGGGCAAGCATCTTCTAGAACTCCCACAATTTCGTTGAATAAACCAGTTGACCCGAAACATGCAATTCTTCTGGAAACATAATGAAGCGTCTGATAGAATGTCAGCCGATGCATGTCCAGAAGCTCAATAACAATAGCCACAAGAGCAATTGAGGAGCAATCATTGCTTACCTTTGGCTTGCCAGCACTAACGAATCGCAAGATTCTGACTGTCCCAATGACATTGGAAAGCCGATGCACCGGGCACGGCTGTACGTAGTTAACATGCGCGCCGCTGTGGATTGATACAGCGGCCCAGCCAGTAAGATCTGCGAAACTATCCTCTCCAGGCCCAAGGTTGTAATCTCCAAAAACTTCCTGTATCGTCAAGATCTTGTGAGCTACCAAAGCATCCCAGATGCCATACTTTCGTTGGGTCTCGCGCATTCGGGCGAAGCATGTTTCGGAGTCCTTGCCTCGCACTAAACAGCCTTCCTTTTGGACTCCGCTCATCTTCAGAAATTCATGCAAAAGAAATGCCCATAAGAAATCGGTAACGAAGAGATCATCATCATCGTCCCTCCGCTAATCACCAGGATTTTCCCTAATGACTTTGACACGGATCCGCTAGCTTACTATCCGCCAGCCACTGTTCTGTCATCTTTAACAGCCAGTTTAATGCCACTCTGATACCCATCAATCGCCCTGGCGAGAGCTGAGAGTATTGCATTCATATTGAACATTGACGAGGAGATTGATACGCCGAAAACCTGTATGGTGGCTACTCGAGGATAGCGTGGGAAAAGAATAAGCAGAGGAAATTCGGAGCCAGTGCCTACATACCAGAGCCAGCTATCCGGATGAATCGGCCTATGATGGGTATTTAGGACTCTCAACTACATCACAATACGCTTTGAAATGTTGACCTGCTTTTATGGGTAGTCATGGATGATACGAGTGTCAGAAATGACCATCGGTGACCATCGGAGGAGAGGTGTTGGAAGTATGTTACTGAGCTGGGGTTTGGAGAGGGCTGATGCTGAGAATGACACTCAGGAACGCCATGCCATGATTCAGAAGCTGGAACCTTAGCCGGTCTGTTACTGGGCGATGTGGAGGCCAAAAAGTGGATCAGTGAAGGACGGATCACCAGGGAGTACTTGAGAAGCAATGACGAAGGATACCAAGCAGAAATGTATGCCGTTAGCAAGGTAGCAGTCACCGTGCCCATTGCGTCCTATGAGTTTGTCCGTGTTATGTTTTCTCCGAAAATTCTATGACAATCGTCTATACGGTATTTACAAGCCAGCAGTGTCCTTCATCTCAAACACCTTCCACAGACTAGCTACGGGCCTCATCATAGCCTGTGCATATATTTCTTTTACGAACATGTTCTCCCCAATCTCTAGATCAGCTTTATACTTTTCCTGCCACTTCTTCAGCTCAAGCACGCCTCTTAACGCCGCTGGGCTCTGTCGTCCAAGCAAAATCTCTCGCTCTCTCTCAGCTGGACTACTCGTTTCCCTTAGACTCTGCTTGCCCTTCTTATAGCTCTTGGGCGTCTCTATAATAAACGGGTCGCTTTTCTCTTCGGTCCAGCATTTCAGCTTCAGCGGGTTCACACCGTTGGTGTTGGCGCGCAAGACACCGATGAGCATACCATATCCACCATGCCGCATCTCTTTCACGCGCTCACCCCAGTCATTGCCCCATATCTGCTCTCTATATGGAGGCTGTGCCGAGCCGAGAATATCAACGAACGTGATTGCTGCCATGGTGATCATGACGGCTGACAGGAAGGTCGGGAACCAGTCTTTGCGTTCTCGGGTGGGTGTGGGAGATAATGCGAGATGTTGTAGGTGTTGGAATGCAGCGCGAAGGGTGATGCGTACCGTTCGGACGTGTGCGACTATATCTTGGACCGCACAGTGTGATGGCCGTGTTGGCGCAGTTACGAAGCAGTTGTAAAGATCGCACACAGCGCTGAGGGAGATGGCTGTTGCTTGGAGCGACAGATTCTGCCATGCAATGTCAGTATTAGACTGCCAAGATTGAGGTGTTACGCACCGGTTTGTTGAAATTATTCTGGTAGTTTCGTACGATTTCTAACAGCTCAGTGCAGTCCTCACCCCACAGAAGAGTCGATCGTGCTTGCTTTACTGTTGTTACCCATTGATCGGAAGGCTGGTTTAACGCTTCGAAATCGTACTGAATATGCGGCCTTTCCAACATGAACCCTCTCCAACTTCGACTGCGTTCAATGAAAGCCGGCCCGCTGAGCAGAGAATCTTCCATGTGTGCTATTTACGATTAAATCAATAGGCGCCACGCATGGACAGGATAACATGCCTGGTAGGAGAAAAAGAACCAAAGACTCCAAGTTCTCTAGTCTAGTCTGCTGTGCGCTTGGCCATTGGTACATACCGAAGGCTTGCAAGCAAAGGTTGCAGATGCTAGGGTTCTTGCTCTGATGTGGTCTGTTAAGAAGGTATTCCGTTTGCTCAGGGGTAAAATTCTGGAAGAAATCAGATGGGAGGAATATGATATAGACCGCACTTACAGCTACTTGGTATATGTGACACCGGGAACAGATCGTGGGTATTCGATCGTAGTTTGGGATAGGCATAAGGTCTTCCAGAGCATGACGTCTCTTGTGTGCCTCTCTATTGGCTGGATGTCCTCCTTGAAGAGGTTCTTGAAGAAGTGCATCCGTATGTGAAGGCGACCGAGAGTGTTTGCGCTTTTGTGCCAGTGATGGAGCATGTATAAGCTCTACTGAAGCTCCACTCGTGGTAGGCACAGAGTACAGCGCGCTTGCGAGAGTTTGGTTGAAGGTGGCATCCCAATTCTCAGAAAAGTATTCATGTTCTTGGAACTGTGACCCTGTTTGCATGGTCCTAAACGACTTAGTCTTCGTTTGTCACAAGTACGGGCGGGGTCTGGATCTTACCATGGTGCATTGCTTGTCGGAGTCTGAAAAGGGGAGGAAGCATCGGATGTTTCTGGAGGTGTACTTTGTCGATAAGGAAGCTGTTGCAAGTTTGGCTCGACATAAGACGAAATAGAATGAGGCCCACGTGAAGTGAAGTTGAAAGCGTCTTGATAGGTGGAGTTGAAAGCGTCTTGATAGGTGATGGAGCTGCCATCATACACCTGATGAGGACTCGTGATGAATGTCGCGTGAGGATTGATCTGTTGCGTAACCTGTGGAGAGACGCTCCTGCTCTGCTCTATTTCGTAATAATGTGATCCATCGATCTGAAAAGCAGGAATTGACGCTGACGAGACGCTCGATGTGAAATTAGGAGTTGCAGTTTGAGAGTGTCTTGGGTAGAGAGACGTTGCGTCAGGCACTGTGGTCGAAGGAGCTCTGTCCGTTGACGGCAACGAGGATGGGATTTCAAGAGGCTCGACTTCATCAGCTCCATCGTCAGGAACTAAGAACATAAAACCAAAGTTCACCGGGTCGGTATGATCACTACAGTAAACCCATTTCATGCGTGGTTTCTGGACTTCAGCCCGCACGGTTTCCTGTATTGTACCGGGCCCCTGATCTCCGCCCGCTGTCAACAATGCTTGATCCAGCTCGGGATGAGTGCTAGTGCCTGCGCGTATGGCGTTGGCGGCGCCGCGATAGCGTCGTTCGCTTGCCATGGTGTGGTGATAGGACGAAATAGGGGAGCACAGTCACAAGTGCGATGAAGTGCTCGCTAGTTTTTGCTTCTGTAGGATCGTGGGTAGCGTAGTGAGTTGTAGTCTTGTGGCAAGCGAGAAATCGTCCCACACCGGAAAGATGGCTGGTACCAATACTTATAAGACTCTCCCGTCTAGACGGCCTAGGTGGAATGCAATCGGTTGATCTTAGATACATGCAGCTAAGGAAAGTCATCCGCGTAAGTGCCAGCAGAGAGCACCGGGACTCGGAGGAGCCGCGCTACATGTCGTGCAAGGCGCGACTGCACGTTCGAAAGTAATTTAGTACAGTTGCTGAAGAGGCTACACA